CATATAGAAATCTTTAAAACAGAAAGAGCTGAAAGAAATCGCTGTCATAATAACAATATAGATGAAATGAGTGGAAAAGATGCCATTGTTACAGAGGCGTGCACCTTCTTGGAGGCTGTGAAACAGTGCATGTATCTTTTGGACAGCACAACCACAATTCCCATGGCTCTGTCTTACTTATAAATGATGCCAGGAAAGAAAAACACAAGAAGAGGAGCAATTAATGTAAAAGGTATAGAAAAAGGAATAACAAAACACTGCATGCGCATTTTCCCTTAATGGGAAGAAAACGGTCATTTGTAGAGGCAATTTCCATTGAAATGCATCACGTTCTTCAATCTACTCACAGGAGGAGCTCTTTTCCCAGGGTGCTCTTCAGCCTGTCATATGACCCTGCAGTTGTGGCAGAGTATGTGGTAAAAGATGTCTTCAAGCTTTTTTTAGATGTTTTTTTTTTGTATTGTGCATAATAGCACGAAAATGGATCCCCCAGTCCTTTTACAAGTATCTGCTGTTGGTGCCTGTGGGGTGTTACAAATTAGAGGCTTGAATGGGTAAAGGAGTCAGAGGGTGTTAAAAAGCTGGAGGCATTCGGTGGAGCACAAACAACCTAAACCAAGCTTTTGAGTAAGACATCACAAAACTGTGACACATTCTGTTGCTTTTTAGATAGGATATTTAGGTGATTTTTGCTCTGCAAAGCCTTTTACATATCTGAGAAGTCCATTTCCAGGATAGTGTTACACTTGTCAACCAGGGAAAGGATTTAAAAGCAAGAATATAATTTTAAATTAGTCTATAGGCCCAGAGATAGAGCCAATTAAAAAAAAAAAAGTCCTATTTAAAGCATTTTTCCTGTTGCAAGAAAATATGGTGGTGGGATTTGCCTTTACCCAGTTCCCTTCATCTTTTCAGTTACATACTACTCCCCTCATTTGCATGATTACTGCCATTCTCTTTTGATTATGTAAGTAACAAATGATCAGTTGTCTTTCTCTACTTATCATTGTACAGTTTGTTTTCTAATGTCCATCCTCCTCTGCCTCTAGGTTTACTATCTGCCATAAAACAGAGGTGGTGAAGAATACATTAAATCCAGTGTGGCAGCCTTTTACTATCCCAGTGCGAGCACTGTGTAATGGAGACTACGACAGGTACAACACAACCTTCCTCTGTCTGCACCTTCTCATCACTCCAGCTACTCTTTGTCCAGTCATTGTTAGACTTGGCTCACTTATCGCTGGTATTTCATCATGATTTAAAAGACAAAGCAATACTTGCTCAATGAATAGTCAATAATGTTGCACCTAATGAAATGTGTTACTGATTTTTGTGGGCTCAATTCTTGAACTGCCTTCATGGCTCTTATTAGTGCCACTGTGACCAACAAAGTGTGCACTAAGTACTATAGCACCATTAATATGCTCAAGGTGAGCATAACCAGCAAGAATCAGCACCAGCTCAACATGGCACTGTGTAAAGTCTGCTGTTGTTTCTAATGCCGTTCTATCACCAAACGACATATGATTTTATTTTCAACTGATGAATGATAAATTATCATCTTCCAAGACCATTTGGACTTTCTTATCCCATTGCCCCTTGTTACTTTATCATTGACAAAAACAAGGTAAACTGATAATTGATAGTAACTGTACACACACATACAGTAGTGCGTGTGCATGTATACATTTGAATTCATTGTCCCCTGCATGTGGGCAGTTGCCCTTCACTTCAGGTTTGGGCTTTCACCAAAGGTCTGGGAGCTTGAATTGTATTTGCAGTATCTTAGTTGTTTCAAAGACTGCACTCTCCTAGGCAGAGAACTCGAAGGTTGTTTCTAAAATCTACTTAAGCCTTCCTCACAGTTTGGTGGTCACAACTCTGAATGCTCTTTAACTTTCCACAACATCAACATTTTCTAGTAGCCCATGACGTAAGCTTCTCCTACACTGTACCTTCTTGATGTAACAGTTGACGTCTTGCAGCACTGTAGTCCAATAATTTTCATCTGCACTTGAGCAGATTCAGGGTTTTGGATGGTAGTTGGATGAAATTTTACAATTCCAAAGATCATTCATAATCAAGACTGCCCTGCCCTGGGTTGAGTTCTATGGGTGCAGATGGTTGATCTGTGCTTCTAGACATTCATGGAAAGCATTATGTTGTTGGTTTTTTTTGCCTGTTGGAATGGATGATGTTGGGAGTCGGGTGAAACCAAACTCTTCACATTGCTCATTGTGATGTAAACTGGTTCTTGTTCAGGGAGACTACTAATCTTGTTCTAATTGTGTGATTTGATGCCTCCTTCTTATGCTTCTC